GGATCATACCCTTTTCTTGAAACATAGGAAAGGTAAGGTCACGACCCTTATTGTGTATGTCGATGACATCGTGGTTACAGAGAATGATCCTGAAGAAAAGACAGCATTACAACGTCATTTAGAGAGTGAGTTTGAGATGAAGGATCTCGGTGCTCTAAAGTATTTTTTGGGTATTGAAGTAGCTCGCTCGAAACATGCAATATTTCTCTCACAGCGGAAGTATACCCTTGACATTTTGACTGAAACAGGAATGCTAGCTTGCCATCCAGCAGAGACTCCGATGGAAGAAAATCACAATCTTGGTGAATATCTTGACCAAGTTCCCACCAACAAAGAAAGATATCAACACCTTGTGGGTAAGTTGATATATCTATTACATACTAGACCTGACATAGCATATGTAGTAAGCGTGGTCAGCCAATTCATGCATATACCAAGTGAAGCTCACATGGATGCTGTGAACAGAATTCTGAGCTACTTGAAGTCAGCTCCTGGAAAAGGATTAATGTTCTTACATCATGGTCATCTAGATGTTGAAGGTCATATTGATGCAGATTGGGCAGGTTCTATTAATGATAGGAGATCTACATCTGGATATTTTACTTTTGTAGGAGGTAATCTGGTCACTTGGCGGAGTAAAAAACAAAAAGTGGTATCAAGGTCTAGTGCTGAAGCAGAATATAGGGGTATGGCATATGGAGTATGTGAACTACTCTGGATTAGGAACTTGATGACAGATTTGGGATTCGAACCTAAACATGCAATGAAATTACATTGTGACAACAAAGATGCAATTGGCATTGCACATAATCCAGTGCAACACGATAGAACCAAATATGTTGAAGTTGATAGACATTTCATTAAAGAAAAGCTTGAGGCTAAGATTATTAAATTACCATTTGTTAAATCTGAAGATCAACTTGCAGATGTACTCACCAAAGCAGTTAAAGGAAGAGTTTTTCACAGCTCAATTAGCAAGTTAGGCATGGACGACATATATGCTTCAACTTGAGGGAGAGTGTCAAATGAGCTGTATTAAGCCTCAAAGGGAAAGAATCAATCCATATTATGCAAGATTATAGGATTCCCTTAATTTGTTCTCTGTAATAATATATTTCCTTGTATAGTCATCAGTTTGTTCTATATAACATATGTATCAATGCATATTCAATAATAAGAAGAAATATTATTTTCTTTCTCTCCAATTCAAACAGTTGGTACACGTATTGTTGCATAAAAGTATTACCGCTGCATAGGTAGCATCATCAGTGAATGGTGCTCACACACCATTCGTTCAGCGATTCGATAGTATTTTTGCCATGCTTTTATATCATCCTCCAATTGTTGCAAAAAAACTCTTTGTTGGAACCTTCATCCAAACCTAAAATTGAAATGAGATTGCAATCTATTTTGGAGGACGTATATCGACTCGAGTTAGCAGAAACTCTATACGAAATATTTTCACTGCACCAGTACAAATAACAGTTTAGAGACTATAAGCACTGTGCATTCAATGTATGAAGCAATCGAGTACTGTAGTTGGATTTGTTACCTTGCCTATAGAATTCAGTAGTTATTAACGTTATGCTACTTTTGGACTCCTATTAATGGCAAAATATGTTACCTTACCTTAAATAGACACAATACTTGGTAAAAACTAGTGGCGATTCGTCAAAACCCACTAGTCACTTCAACATATTGTCAAGCACAGTGAAAATAAATTTTGAAAAGGTAATATATTCCTTGTAAAGCGTTGGGAATAAATTTCCTCCACACCATGAAAATCCAATCTACTAACAGTAAATATACGAATCAAACATAGTAACATCACAGATATAGATTTTTTCGATGCGCAATAATTAATTTCAACGCTCTACACAAATTGAGTGAGAAAATAGTCCGAAAAATATGAAAAAACACACAAATGGTAAACATATAACATAAGCAAATGTACGCAACAAATAGTGAGTGAAAATTTCCCCCGACCCTTCAATGGTTTCGCAACCCTTGTTTCATGTCACACTTGAAACAATACTCTATCCACGTGAATCTAAGTTCCGATGTTTTAGTGGCACTGTACGCAATGAATTTGTTTGAGTCTCGAAAGAACCAGAGAGCAAACAAATGGAGCTCATCACGACTTTTAATGAGTCTAGTGGAAAGCAGTTGTTTACATACTCAGAAATGATTATTGCAACTTGGTCTTTGGACCAAAGGATCAAGGCAAACTTGTTTGACACAGTTGCCATGTTATCCGTAGACTGTAAAATCTCATATGCACCGAACTTCTTCTTCTTTCCCTTCTCCTTAACTTGATTTCCTCTTCACTTCTCTCCACTTTAACCAAGAAAAATATTCATCAAGGAGTTTGCTCTGCCCTCCACAGGATCGTCGCTTGGATTCGTTGTCTATAGAGGCCTCTCCTTCATTGCTCGCGATACATCGCTTTAAGAACGTACTTTTAAACTCTAACCAGCTCCTAATACTCCCAAAAGATAACCTACTGTACCTAATTTTTGTCGCTCTATTTAAAGTCAAGTGGAAGGCCTTATATTTCACAATGAAGGTAGCGCCTCTCAAGCTCACATGTGTTTTGTAGCTATTCAAATGTTTAGCCGGGTCGTTTCTCCCATCATACTTTGGTATCTTTGGTAGTAGATAGTGGCTTGACACAGGAGTATTTCTTAGCTTTTATGAAAAGGGCAAATTTTCATCGTCGTCATTGAGATCACAAGATCACTGGGTTCATCTGAATCACCATCCTCATCAGCCTGATATTTGGGTGGGGGATGAGACTGGACTACTTAGTCTCTTGCCATCTCCTCCCTCCTATAACCCTTATTTCTAGGCTGGACAACATGGCGAGGAAAAGGGTTCATATTCTTGCCTTTCCTCCAATTGCATAGTTGTAGGAAGGTGGTGGCTGTGGCCTACATCTAGGCATGGGAGGTTGCTGAGTCGGCCTGTGCCTCATTTCAATGAGACTAATTCTGTCGAAAATTCAATCAGACCTTTGAGGCCTGTTTTCTGACTCATACTTGGGAGGAAAATTGTCCATCATGTCAGCTGTGGCCCCGGTGGGTCAGTCAAAGTATAATTGGAAGAAACATCAATTTCCACTTCTTTTTTAACAGGGCAAACTTCTCTATCCTGTCGAGGGAATGGGGGCCCTTTGGTTTTGTATTTCATCCTGGCATAGATATTATTCTTAAGGTGTAAAAGGAGAGATTGGGAGCCTCCCTGGTCTTTGCATGAGAAGCTCTTTTATAGCCATATTTTGATGGGTAATATTTCTCATGTTTGTTGTCATGGTGGCAATCTTGGCGATCTTTGTGGAAAGTTAGGCAGCTACCCCTGAGGATGGCAAAAAAGCCCGTCCATCCCTATTTTGCGGGCTTCAAGGTGAGGATTTCCTGCTTAAGTGGGTAATCGGGTCGGGTGTGGGGTGGAGAATTCTGCCCCAAAGCGGTATGGATAACGGGGGCCTCGCCTCGCTCCGTTTAATTTATTTTTTTTGAAGAATTCAATGCTTTAAGCTCTTGTTTCATTTCCATTTTTTTTAAAACACATTTTTATCTCTCTTCTTTTCAATAACACATTTTTTTAATAAAAATAATATTACATGTAAATTAAAAAAAATCTTATTTTTTAACCACATATTTTCCATCAATCTATTATTCTAAAATGCATTATTAGGAAATAATAGGGTTCAAATAGGCCCTAAATTAATTTTAAAAAAAACACTCCATGAAATTTTCAGTAATTCTAATAGTAGATGACAATTAAGATTATCTAAGGAATATGAAAAACAATAAAAATCTTAGTTTACCAAATATATTCGAATAATTTAACTTTTAAAAATAAATAAATTAATTTAAAAAATTTAATAACTATATTATTATCTCACTTGAATGAATGGGGGTATTCAAATGAATTATAAAAAATTAAACGATTATGTAAACGGGGCAACCGCTCCGCCCCGCCCCACCTCGATTCTACCTCGTTGCCATCTCTAGCTACCCTCATCCCACCGCGTCTATATGTTGGTGGGATCGGCACCGACCTGTTGGGATGACTGCTTATAGGACTTCATCATTATTTTTCTCACCATCCTAGGAGGAACAGCAAGGTCTGAATTCTTTTTTCCTTAAACTGTTAAAATTTTTTCCAAACTTTTAAAGCTTCATTTTGTTCTTTTTCAAGAACAAATCCCTTTTCAAGGAGAATGCGCAGCTATTTTTCAACAAACGTTTTCCATGGAATTGCTCGTGGTTATAGTGTAGCTTTCCACAGACAACACCAATCTGTTAACCTTATTTTTTGTTAGGGTACGTGAACAACAAATATTGAGACCCAATCGTGTGCACATAAGCAAATTCCAACACGTATGAACAGGTTGCTAGTCGACAATACTTCAGATTTGGACGTGGGAAAAATTTTATGACATGAGACAAATATGTTCGACTCCGACTATATATTTTGGGAACGATTGTGTAACATCACCATTGTCATAGGGGCTTTACGAATCTCAAGACATAGTTGAACTTTGGTATCAATATAATATAACGAAATAGAATGAACCAATAACATATCTAAACCTTTGTTGATTCTTAGAATACCGAGATTTTAAAACTAATAGTTTGTTAATTCTGGCACGATTACCAATAATTATAAACGAAATTGATAAAATCTCAACCTTTTGTATAAAATTAACAAAAAAAAAAAAAACCCAATTGAACAGTATTGTACCAACATGTTTAAAGCTAATCATCTCACTCTAATTAAAATTACACTCCCAGACCCTAACCTTTCAATAAAATATAAATTAAACCTAATATGAAGGAAACATATAATTAAATAAAATATAAACAAAGTCCTCTAATAATAATGACAGCATTTAGTAAAATTTACTAGGTAGGAAAATGCAAAGGTGGCGTGAATTGCAGCTCCAATAGGAAGAACATCCTCATCAATAGTATAGTAAGGATTGTGGGGAAGATAAACAGATCCAACCTTCTCATTTCTTGTTCCCAGCAAAATATATGATCCTGCAACCTTTTCTAAATACTCCGCAAGATCTTCACTGCGCATGAAAGTAAGAGTTAATTTTGTGTTCTCTTCCCCTACAATCAATCTCGAGATTTTTCGTACATATTCGTATATCCTCTCGTCATTTATGGTCGAGGGGAGATTAGGACGTCCGTTTTTGTCAAATTCAATCTCAGTCAAGCACTGTTGTATTGCTGATTGCCCTTTTATAACCTGTACAAGAGAAATCCTAAAAATATTAAAGCTAGTCATTATTAAGACGAATTTTTAAGCCCCTGTTTGACAACCATTAGTTGAATTTTTTTTACATACACATTTTCAACCATACATTCAAGTAATAAAATATTTTGTATGTAAACTTAAAATTTTTCTTAACTATTTAATCATACATTCTCCAAAATTTCACTATCCAAAACATCATTTTGAACAAGTGATGGCTATCAAATAGGGGCTAAGTATATCCAATCCCCCTGTAATACTTCATAAAAGTACCTGAGGATCCAAAGGGTCGGTTTCTCTAGAAATAATGTTCCGCAAGCTAATTATAGTAGTTGAAGCAGCCAAAATGGGGTCAATAGATTCTTGAGGAAAAGCCGCATGAGCCCCCTTCCCCCGGATCACGGCTTTGAAGCTTCCATATCTGGCTAGGAATGGTCCCGGACGTGATGCAACAGTACCACTTGCGTAGCTGGTGAACATATGCAATCCAAAGAATGCATTGACATTGTTAAGCACTCCTTCGCGTATCATTTCTTTTGCACCTTCACCATTTTCCTCAGCTGGTTGAAATATTAGATTAACAGTTCCCTTCAATGAATGGATTAATGTTTTAGAAATATAGGAACCCAATGAGTTTGTCACATATAGGATGTCATACCTATGTTACTGACATGACCTTTCCTGAATTACCCTAGTGGACTCCAAAAGTGATGTTTTAGTTGGTATCAAAGCATGTTTTATAATTTTTTGGAAGTTTGCGTAGCTCATGCATTAGCATGTCATTCATATTCATGTGTGTAGTCACATGTCGTGGTGGTAGAAGTCACAAGCTCTGAAGCTATGTCTAAAACTCATATTGTTATTAGAATGATGGGATCAAAGATGATAGAAGAATCTCTCTAGTATATTCAAGAACCACCAATAGGAAATATAATTATTTGCAACAGTTTGATGATTTCAAAGTTACAACCACGTGATAAATTGAGTTATATGATTCATTTTTGTATAGTACAAAGTGATTATTTTGGGCACATTGCATTACATTTTTCATAAGCATCTGATTTTGGCACATAATTAATAATAACTCATAGTCAGCTTTGATGGTGGATTCGGCATCTAGCTGGCATCCACTATCGGAACACATCATGTTTCGAGTTCATTAAGTTGATTCGGGGTGGGTTTTGTCAATTACAGTACAAAGTCACATGTATTTTGTTTTTCTTTGTTATCAAATTGTTAGAATAAATAAAATGAACACGGATAGGTGATATGGATACGACATGACATGGATATATCGACTTAATTTTTTTAAAATTTATGTTCATATATTATATATCAATTTCTAAACTTTCTAATATAGGATACGATGATACCATGTTGAACAATTATTTGAGGAATGTCCTTCAAATGTCACTCGAGCACAAATTTTTTTAAAATATATGCAAATTAAGACACGACATGTAGCTTGTTAGACTTATGTCACGGAGTGTCTGAGATGTATCAATATCCAACACGACAAAATACAATACATGTCAGATATAAACACGTTATCCTAGTAGAAATGTTCGTACATAGGAGTTATTTACCAACAACAGAGTTGGGCGTACAGGCCAACTCTTACAAACCCCTTACTGGGGTCTCACTTGGGATGGGGTTGAGTTTTTTTTCACTTTTTATTGCATGGGGCCAACCCCATGTGAGGGGTCTATAAGACCCTGTGAATATTTGCCCTGTACACAGGGCTTTATTCAATTACCAAACCCACCATCATCTAATGGATAAACGAGACCAGTTATTTACCTGCAAATGATGTTTGAGTTGTTGCAGTATTAAGATCCTAGTGAATATTTGCCCTGTACAGAGGGCTTTATTCGGTTACCAAACCCCACCATCATCTAATGGATAAACGAGATCAATTATTTACCTGCATATGATGTCTGAGTTGTTGCAGTATTCTTGCAGCACCTAAAAGCTTAGATATGTGTGCATCATGTGCACAAGCATGCATTTTGCCATCCACCTGACTTTTGTGCTCCCATTCCCTCATTTCCTATATGGGGATAGAGATATTTATCAAACGTTAATTTTTCTAATGATTTTAGTTTGAAAGTACTATAATTAATTCATTAAAGTACAAATAAGTTGTTAACATGAGATGGAAAAAACTTTATTCTCGATGAATTTGTAATTGACCATATAAAATCTTTTTTCATTAGTCAGTTCAATTTAATGCTAAATACATGTTCTAAACAACTAGTAGAAGAAATAGCCATGCAACTGACTTGAATAGGCAGAGCATCCATATCTGTTCTTAGAGCTGTTGAATATTTGTTCAAAATCAATGGAATGATAATGGACTAATTGTTGAACTCAATTGTGGAATTGGTAGAATCAAAAGAAATTGAAAAATGAAAAATTTGATTTTTGCCTATGCGTACGCACAGGCTTATTTTTGTGCGTACGCGAGATGAGTTTTGGCAAAATCAGAATTGATTTTACTTCTACTATGCGTACGCATGGTTTATACTATGCGTACGCATAGTGTTAAAAAATAGTCGTTGGCTGATTTTTCAATTTGAAACTTGGGAGCCGTTTTGGATTAAAAGTTGCCACTTTTTATCTTGTTTTGGCACCATTTCGTGATGTATTTATTGATGCCTATAAATAGGTGGTGAATGATCAATACAAACATATTACAAACAAGAAATACATACATTGTTCCACAATTAATCAAATTCATGCTATAACTCATATTCATTTCTTCTTTATTGTGTTCATCAAGGTTTAACGAAAAATTTCTCGTGCTTTGTTATTTTCTATATCAAGGTTTGTTAAAATCCTTCAAACCATTTGCCATAACACCCTTAAACATCTGGAGAGAGGGCAAATATAGTTTGAGGACAACGATCCCGTGTTCAAGCCTCAAATTCATTCTTGACGTATTTCGTGATTTCTATTCATTTTGTTTCCATAATTTTGTTGTTATTTCTTCTCCAACCCCTTATTTTCCAACAATCTCAAACTATATTTTGCGATGGAGAATGACACAACTATGGCAACCATCAAACTCATGAATCAAGATCTGGTTAGATTGGATCGTTTTGACGGGACTAACTTCACACGGTGGCAAGACAAGTTGAAATTCCTCCTAACGGCGTTGAAGATTTTTTATATTCTTGATCCAAATTTGGCGCCTTCGCCGGAACCAACAAATGGAGAATCCGAAGCAATCAAAACCGAGAGACAAAAACGCCAAGAAGATGAATTGATTTGCCGTGGCCACATCTTGAATGCATTGTTGGATCGTTTGTATGATCTATACACCAATACAACTTCGGCGAAAGAAATCTGGGAAGCATTGAAAAGTAAGTACAAGGCGGAAGAAGAAGGTACAAATTTTTTTTTTTGATTTCTAAGTATTTTGATTTTAAATTCTAGAAAATATCCCTCGTCTTACCCAAATGCATGAGTTGCAAGTAATTGTCAACAAATTAAAGGCGGTAAAAATTGATATACCAGAGACCTTTCAAGTGGAGCTATAATTGCCAAACTTCCTGAAACTTGGAAAGGATACCGGAAGAAGATCATGCATAGTTCCGAAAATTATTCTTTGGAACAATTGCAAAGCATCTTCGAATCGAAGAGGAGTCGAGAATATGTGATAAAACTGAAAATTCTCATGAGGGCTCTTCTAAAGCAAATGCTGTGGAAAAATAGAACCGTCAGCAAAATCTAACAAAGGAAAGCCTTCTAGGAACTTTAACAAGTCCAAAAAGAAGACAAAAGGAGGTTACTTTGTGTGTGAAAAATCTGGTCACTATGCCAAGGATTGTAGGCACCGAAAACAAAACAATTTCGAGACCAAAGTGAATTCCATCCAAGATGACAAAATTGTGGCCACCATAAGTGAAGTAAACACATTCAAAGGAAATGTTCCCAGGTGGTGGTATGATACTTGTGCTACGATACATGTATCATATGATAAATCTTTGTTCAAAACTTATCAAAAAGTGGATGAAGAACAAGAGATTCAAATGGGTAACGAGATGCGGTCTAAGTGTTTGGAAAAGGAAGTGTAGACATTATCTTCACTTCTGGGAAAACCGTTACTCTAACTAATGTGCTACATGTTCCGGATATGAATATGAACCTAGTTAGTGGTAATCTCTTGGGAAAATCTGGTATCAAATGTGTTTATGAGTCCGGTATCCCTTAATGGAAAATTTGTTGGAAAATACTATTCGTGTGAAGGAATGGTCAAATTATGTACCATTGACAATGAAATGAATAAAAGTAATTTTGTTTTTGTTGTGAATTTATTTTCATTATGGCATGCTATATTAGGTCATGTTGGTAGAAATACAATGAAACGCATGAAAAAATATGACTTGATCTCATATGATGAACATAAATGCAAAATACGTATAGAATCTAAAATGATTAAAAAACCATATCAAAGTGTTAAGAGAACCTCTAGTATTTTAGAATTAATTCATACTGATATATGTGAACTTAATAGTATGTTAACTAGAGGTGGAAATAAATATTTTATAACTTTTATAGATGACTTTTCTAGATATATTTACGTTTATTTGATAAAACATAAAAGTTGACATGTTTAAGACATACAAGAATGAGGTTGAAAATTATCTAAGAAAAAAATTAAAATTTTAAGGAGTGATAAAGGTGGTGAATACTTTTCCAATGATTTTAATTTGTTTTGTGAACAACATGGAATTATTCATCAATGTTCTGCACCTAGGACACCCGAACAAAACGGCTTGGCTGAAAGAAAGAATAGAACATTTGTAGAAATGATAAATGCCATGCTTATTTATGCTAAATTGCCATTTAACTTGTGGGGTGAAGCTTTATTAAGTGCATGTAGAATACTTAATATGATTCATTCAAAATATATTAAGGTTTCTCCTTATGAATTGTGGAAAGGAAGAAAATCGAACATTGGATACTTCAAAGTGTGGGGTTGTCTTGCCTATTGCAAGAACACGAATCATAATACGATCAAATTGGGTCCAAGAGGCATTAAATGTGCCTTTGTTGGATATGCAAACAATAGCAAATCTTATAAATTACTAAATTTGGAGTCCAATGTGATTATCGAATCCAACGATGTGGAGTTCTTTGAGGATTCGTTATCTTCGGATAATGAATTGAGGGAAAATCTTGAAAATATCCCTAGTTCAAGTGGAACACATGATGAAATATCTTCTAAAGATGTTGATGAGTCTAGTGAACCACGAAGAAGCAAGAGAACTCGAGTTGAGAAGTCTTTGGGACCGAATGAAATTGATTCTCAACTTATCTCCTTTTACTTAGTAGAGGGAAATGAGTTGAATGTTGTGAGAACAATTCCTTTTGTTCTACAAGTTGAAACCGACCTTAAGACTTTTAAAGAAGCTATGGCTTCTCGTGATAGCACCTTTTGGAAAGATGCAATTAAGGACGAAATGGATTCGATAATGTCCAATAATACTTGGGAACTTGTTGATTTACCATCGGGATCCAAGCCTATTGGATGCAAATGGGTATTTAGGAGAAAATACAATGTTGATGGATCCTTAAATACCTTCAAGGCTATATTAGTAGTCAAAGGATATCGACAAAAGGAAGAAATCGACTATTTTGATACTTATGCACCAGTAGCTAGAATAACATCGATTAAGATATTTTTCGCTTTGGCTTCAATATATAACTTGCATGTTCATCAAATGGATGTCAAGATGGCATTCTTAAATGGAGATCTCGATGAGGAGGTTTATATGGAACAACTCGAAGGGTTTGCCCTACCTGAAAATGAACATAAAGCGTGCAAGTTGGTGAAATCTTTATATGGTCTGAAGCAAGCACTGAAGAAATGGCATGAGAAGTTTGACTTAGCAATAATATCATTCGGTTTAAACATAATAGCGTTGATACATGTTTATATTCTAAAGTTTGTGATGATTATGTGACATTTATATGGTTGTATGTTGACGACATGCTGATTATGAGTAATCACATGGACGAAATAGAAGAAACAAAGAGGTTTCTTTCTTCCACATTCAAGATGAAGGATCTTGGACAATTGGATACCATTTTAGGTATCAAAGTCAGAAAGACTAGTGGGGGTTACGATCTAAGTCAATCACATTATATTGAGAATGTGATAAATAAGTTCAAACATTTGAACATAAAAAAATGTAGTACCCCGATTGATTCAAATTCAAAACTAATAAAGAATGATGGAAGGGGGATTGCTCAATAGGAATATGCAAGTGCTATAGGGAGTCTTATGTATGATGTTCAATCCACAAGATCGGATATAGCTTATGAAATAAGTAAATTTAGTAGGTTTACTAGCAATTCGGGTAATGATCATTGGAAGGCTATTGTGAGAGTTCTTGGATACTTAAAGAAAACCAAGAACTTGGGCCTACAATATACTAAATTTCCGACGATATTGGAAGGATTTATCGATGTTAGTTGGATATCTAGCACGGGTGAAAGTAAATCTACTTCGGGTTGGGTATTCACTCTTGGAGAAGGTGTTGTTTCTTGGAAATCAAAGAAACAAACATGTATAACACACTCGACCATGGAATTTGAATTTGTAGCTTTATCGGATACCAGAAAAGAGGCTGAGTGGCTTAAGATCTCTTATATGAGATACCTTTGGGATCGAAGAATATCTCTTCAATACCTATCATGTGCGATAGTCAAGCCACAATAGTAAAGGCATATAACGAGATCTACAATGAAAAGTCTAGACATATGAGTCTGAGACATGACTACATAAGGAAATTAATCAAAAATGGAATAATGTCCCTAAATTATGTAAGGTCATTTGAGAATTTAGCAGATCCTTTAATTAAAGCACTAAATAGAGATTTAGTGGCTTCTACTTCGAGTAGGATGGAGTTGAAACCTCTTAACTAAAAAGGTCAACCAATGACGGCAACCTACCTGTCATTACTTAAAAAGTAATCCACGGGTTCAAAGGGTAACAACAAGTCATTCGACATATGGATGGTTGCAGCATTATTCAAATCCGCAATGACTCTATCCTAATTAAATAATGCTGATTGTTATTGAAGTGAGGGTTGAGCTTAAAGCTCTTAATGAAGTTCAGTGCTAAAACACAAGTATCTCTAAAAGTAACAAAAGTACCGGAAGGACTTCACCTAGACTAACTTCGAGGTGATGCTACCTCAATAAAGAGTTGGAGTTTCTCTCTTAAAAGTTTGTCAAATAGGATGAGCGTAAGGCCATAAAAGCGCTAAGCGAGTTGATGAACTTAAGAACACGTGATACTTATGTGTGTGTTCTTACCGGTATTGTCACGAGGAATAATTGGTTCAAAACTTCCATGCTACGTCTAATTCTGACTTTACTTTGTTTGAATTACACTATGGTTAGATTCAAATCGAAAGATATCTAATCCTTATGCATAAGTGTCGTCTTTTTGAATATGTGATCTTATTGATTTTGAACAAGTGGAGGATTGTTGAATATTTGTTCAAAATCAATGGAATGATAATGGACTAATTGTTGGACTCAATTGTGGAATTGGTAGAATCAAAAGAAATTGAAAAATGAAAATTTTGATTTTTGCCTATGCGTACGCACAGGCTTATTTTGTGCGTAAGCGAGATGTGCTTTGGCAAAATCAGAATTGATTTTGCTTCAACTATACGTACACACGGTTTATACTATGTGCACGCATAGTGTTAAAAAATAGTCGTTGGCTGATTTTTCAATTTGAAACTTGGGAGCCGTTTTGGATTAAAAGTTGCCACTTTTNTGTAAGGTCATTTGAGAATTTAGCAGATCCTTTAATTAAAGCACTAAATAGAGATTTAGTGGCTTCTACTTCGAGTAGGATGGGGTTGAAACCTCTTAACTAAAAAGGTCCACCAATGACGGCAACCTACCTGTCATTACTTAAAAAGTAATCCACGGGTTCAAAGGGTAACAACAAGTCATTCGACATATGGATGGTTGCAGCATTATTCAAATCAGCAATGACTCTATCCTAATTAAATAATGCTGATTGTTATTGAAGTGAGGGTTGAGCTTAAAGCTCTTAATGAAGTTCGGTGCTAAAACACAAGTATCTCTAAAAGTAACAAAGGTACCGGAAGGACTTCACCTAGACTAACTTCGAGGTGATGCTACCTCAATAGAGAGTTGGAGTTTCTCTCTTAAAAGTTTGTCAAATAGGATGAGCGTAAGGCCATAAAAGCGCTAAGCGAGTTGATGAACTTAAGAACACGTGATACTTATGTGTGTGTTCTTACCGGTATTGTCACGAGGAATAATTGGTTCAAAACTTCCATGCTACGTCTAATTCTGACTTTACTTTGTTTGAATTATACTATGGTTAGATTCAAATCGAAAGATATCTAATCCTTATGCATAAGTGTCGTCTTTTTGAATATGTGATCTTATTGATTTTGAACAAGTGGAGGATTGTTGAATATTTGTTCAAAATCAATGGAATGATAATTGACTAATTGTTGGACTCAATTGTGGAATTGGTAGAATCAAAAGAAATTGAAAAATGAAAATTTTGATTTTTGCCTATGCGTACGCACAGGCTTATTTTGTGCGTAAGCGAGATGTGCTTTGGCAAAATCAGAATTGATTTTGTTTCTACTATGCGTACACACGGTTTATACTATGTGCACGCATAGTATTAAAAAATAGTCGTTGGCTGATTTTTCAATTTGAAACTTGGGAGCCGTTTTGGATTAAAAGTTGCCACTTTTTATCTTGTTTTGGCACCATTTTGTGATGTATTGATTGAGGCCTAAAAATAGGTGATAAATGATCCATACAAACATATTACAAACAAGAAATACTATATTGTTCCACTATTAATCAAATCCATGCTATAACTCATATTTATTTCTTCTTTATTGTGTTCATCAAGTTTTGGCGAAAAATTTCTCGTGTTTTGTTATTTTCTGCATCAAGACTTGTTAAAATCTTTCAAACCATTTGTCATAACACCCTTAAGCATCTAGAGAGGGGGTAAATATAATTTGAGGACAACGATTCTGTGTTCAAGCCTCAAATTCATTCTTGACGTATTTCGTGATTTCTATTCATTTTGTTTCCATAATTATGTTGTTGTTTCTTCTCCAACCCCTTATTTTCCAACAAGGGCAACAAAGGGAGGAGAACCGGAGCCAATGGTTCCAACTACACTGGTCCATGCCACTGGCCACCAGTATTTAACTCCCATTCGATCAAGCTCGTGCCTTACCAGAGAGCTCGTTGAAAATTCTTCAAAAGCAAGTTCAGGGTTCTCATGAATTTTCCTTCGTAACATCTTCATCCATTTTACAGTCTCCAGCTCATTCGCCAACCTTATTACATGCTCTGCCAATGAAGAATTATGTTCTTGCAAAGATGGATTTAAGCAGCTTTCATGAAAACTGAGTTGAAAACAAGAGAAAGACACAACTGTAAACAGTATTAGGGTACTACATTGGAGAATGTCCATGTTTTTGTTGAAAAAAAAAAGTCAAGAAATATGAATATGATGTCTGATTCAAGTGAAAATTTCTTGGTTTAGTAGGTCATGTGGTCCTATACATCAACAAGCTGAGGAACTATTGATTGGCTAAGGTTTCAAATCAAATATTAAATCATATATGTATCATTAGAAAACATGTATCACTACTTGCATATTGATTGGTCAATTCCACATTTTTTTGTTTTAAATAAAACATTCCTTTTTTCTTTTTTTGTTTTTATAATCTATTTTCAATAATTATAAAACCTATTTGATTTGGATTAAAATCTGATTTTAATTTAAATCGAATTCAAATAATCAATATTAAACACATTTTTTATGGGTCAAACAATTTTTCAACCACACATTTTAAAAACTTCTATCACAATCTATTAAAAAAAAAAAATAATAATAATAATAATAATAATAATAATAATAATAAATAAATAAATAAATAAATCTAATTTTGACCCCCACCAAGCACCCTCATAATATTCTCCTTGAAAAGATAAGTCACTATCACTTTTATTATAAGTCACTATCTTTTTTTTTTTTTCCTTTTTTTTTTTTTTTATCTATGAGAGGCAACATTGTAAATTGAAACTTATGTCTTAAAAGTACAAGTACGTATTATCTACAAAATTATTTATTTACAAAATTTCATATATTAAACATTCTAAAAAAATAGCCCCCGTTTTGGCCCCCATTCTGCTTCTCATTCTTTTTCTCTCTTATTTTTAACTATACAATCTTTCATAAAATAATATTACACGCAAATAAAAAACTTTTCATTTTTTTTAACTACACATTTTTCAAAAAAAAATATTCCAACCATTAAAATTTGGAAAGAATGGGGGCCAAACGAGGTGATAATCTAATCTACACGTAAAGTGCATGTTAAGCATATTAGATAATTTAAAAAATTCTTAAAGAATATTTATATTAAAGTCAATACCAAACTAGAGTGGTAAAAAATGTCAATTCCCCGTGAGCTCGTGATCTAAACGTCTTCATAATGTAGCCACTAAATTTATGTGAACCTGGTAGAGTTTGTACAACTTTTGGCCAGTGATGGGAAAAAATATCTAAATATCATAAAAAAATCTTCCAATTAGTATGAGCCATTTCAATTTAAAGCCAATATTTCAAATAGTTTTTATTTTTTGGAATTGAATGCGTAAAACAAAATATTGTCGACAAGATATAGACTGTACTATTTCCAGGGGTTGATCCACATGGGTCGTGGGGTCAAATGACCCTACAAAATTTTGGTTGTTAAAAAAAAATATATATATATATATATATATATATATATAGTTGTTTAATCGTTTTACGACCTACTTTAATACATGTCAAATGAAATCGAAACATTGCATTATTAATATCATTTCAAAGAGCTCATGACCTAGTTTTTCACTTTTTAATGACATGCGAAATAATCAATCATAGCAAAAGTTATGATGTATCAAAATAAGTCGTTCCAAATTAGTATTTCGAAAATTTCTATAATACGCTAACTTCTAAAATTTGTCGATGATCATATACTATCCAAATCCACAAATCGCCTGCATTATCTAGAAACTCGTTTCGAGAACTACATTATAGTCATATTGAATGGTCTAAATAGATATTGAAAATAGTTAAACATGCGTCAAACATATGTACTAAAAAAGGAGTTTAACTCGGTTTTTTTTTAATTCAATTATTTCATCAACGTTTATTATTTTTACATTATAAATTTCTCAATATAATTTACATCATTTTATTAGGAAATTTTAAATTAAAAATGACGTCAAAAATTCTAAACTCGTTATGGATTAAATGTAATTTGAATTACTTTCAAATTATTTTTTCTTTAAACATAAATTTCATTTACTTCCTAAATTAAATGTAAATTTTATTTTAATTCATTCACTTCCTACATCTAATTTGATTTATTCACCGTTAGCTCAACATCCAAAAATGACATGTTAAACAAAACTATACAGTAGCAAAATTCATTTAACAATATTTATAATGATATAATTATAAGAAGTTTTCAAGAAATCAAAATGCGTATTAACTTATTTTCGTTAATATTATATTATTTTAAAAAATTGCACATTAATTTTTCACACAACAATCCAAAAAGGCTAGGTCCGCCCCTGACTATTTCTATTGAACATATATGTCATCAATCTCAAATGCAATGATAACCTCCTCCATTTCCCCATTTCTTTCCATCTATTCTTTGGCCACGATCAAGCCCCCGAAAGGTGAATATTGTTAGAATTAAATTGTGACTTGAATTCTAACGAGTATTTTGATTGAAAATATTGTTGGAGTAGTATTGGGAATTAAAATGGGCTTGAAGGAGTTCAAGAAGTGTAAGGAGAATGATTCTCCTTTTTTGTAGCTTTTTGCTCCTATTTCATCCTAAATATTTCATTAGTGGTTTTACCCATTGTATTCGAACTTCCTCATAGTAAATCCTTTATGTGTTAAATCTTTTAGTATGTTAGGGATTCTTTGATTATAAATATGTGGTGTATAACACATATTGGAATTGACAATTGTCCAATTATTTATTGGTCCAAAGAGATTTGTTATAACTCCTTACTATTTATTATAGTGAATTCTCTACATCTACCCGTGATTTTTTCAAATTTGGATTTCCAAGTAAATCCTATTTTCTGTGTGAACCATTATTTTCATATTGCCCATATTTTCTCATATTTTAATTATTTGCCTTGATTCTTAACAAGTGGTATCAGGGCCAAGTTTTTAGTGGTTCTTAGGAGGGTCAAATTTGTTATTAAAGCGAGGTTTGAGCAAAATCACTTGTTTCGGGGATAACAAGTATGAAATGTGAGTTCGACTTTTGGATCGCAACAAGATTTTTTGTTATGCAATTTTTTTTTAGCTTGGATGCTAGAGGAGGAGCAATGTAAGGATCGGTTATATATATTTGGAAGGTTAGGCCGTCATTGTGAATGCAGCTGCTGCTTATGATTTCATAAGTAGTAACATAGGTGGAGTCGGTTGTGATGGGTTGTTCGTGGTGATTCGAATAATAATATTTGGGAACCTTCCAGTAGCTTGGTTGGAGCTAGTTGTGATCTTGTTGACCGTGTTGTTCATGGTGATTTGAGCACATTTGACAGCTCAAGTGGAGTTGGAGGTACTCATTGTAATTCGACAGTTTAGGATACTCGATGGCGCGCAAGGCAGTTTTGCTAGTAAGCAGGGTTTGGATTTAGTTCACAGTTGCTGAGTATGCTCGACAGGTCACGGTGGAAGAGGTTGAGTAATTTGTTTGGAGTGTTCTACAAGAATAATTTTTGGAGTTTATTGAAGAGTTAAGTTTTATTCTTTAAAGTGGAATTCGAGTTAAGGTAGAATTTGTTAAAATTAGATTTTGACTCAAATTCTAATGAGCATTTTGATTGAAAATACTATTGGAGTGGTATTGGAAGTTGATAGTAAATTTGAAGAAGTCTTGAAGGAGTTCAAGAAGGGTAAGGAGAATGATTCCCCTTTTGGCAATTTTTGACTCCTATTTCATTCCAAATATTCTATTATTGATTTTACCCATTGTTTTAGGATTTCACCTTATATTAAACTCTTTATGTATTAATTTTATCTACTATGTTAGGGATTCTTTGGTTATAAATATGTGGTATACAACATATATTGAAATTTACCAATTATCCTATTGATTATTAGTCCAAAGAGATCATGTAACTCCTTACTATTGATTATATTGAATTATCACATATGTCCGTGGTTTTCCCAAATTTTGATTTCCACATAAATTGCGTCTTTTGTATGATCCATTATTTTCATATTGCCTATATTTTCTCGTCTTTAATTATTTGGTCGGATTCTTAACAAGTGTCAAGAGTCAAGAAAAGTTCATTGTACCTCTAAGGTATGCAAGGTGAAGAATAGTCTAATGAACAAAATTTTAATTTCCTATTTTTTTAATACTGTCCAGTTTTATTCAATCTCTACCATAGAACATGCTAATTATGTTTCCAATGGACTGACTTACAACTTCCATTTATTGTGCATATCTACCCATCATCTCAATAAGTTCTAATATGTTGACACACCACACGCCAAAAGATATAAGAGCACGAACTGGGGCGGAGAGAAAGAATGTCAAGCCATTTGATTTTTTTTTAGGTAGAAAATGAAATTTAATGAATTTTTTCTATGTATCAAAATTCAGCCAACGCGAACATGAATATGAACTTGGAATTGAAGTGAAAAAGAAAAGTAATTTTCAAATCAAATACTCATTGAATAATGTATGTTTGGTCATTTCGACAAAACGGAAACCCAAGAAAATACAGCTCGGCTGATGTGACATTTCTAGTTTTTGCACTGTCATAAGAAAGCTTTTGTTTAAGGAGATGCAAGTTAAGCCCTATATGACAACCATTCTTTTGAATTTTTTTGAAGGGAATGAGTTTTTGAGTAGTAATTTTTTTTTTTTAAAATGTGTAGTTAAAAAGTGGGAAAAAAGTTTTGAATTTATGTGAAGAATATTTTATCGTGAGAATGTGTGATTGAAAATGAGTATGAGTTAAAAAAAAAAAAAAAAAAAAAAAAGGTTTCAAATGAATGATTACAAACCTGGGACTATTTGTCATAAGAAAAATGTATGAACATGTTGCGATTTTATTTTTACTTTTTAAATAGAATAAAGAACAAAAATGTAGTAGATTAGTTGGAATATGATTTTAGTTTGGCGGTATAATATTTTTGTCAATTTTTAGTTGACGTGGGCAGTGGCGAATCCAGGATGTTGAGTCAGTACGGGCGCCGTTGATTGTTGACCGTGGATCGTCGGCAACAATAAAATTTTAACAGCTCGTTTGATGTCTTCTTTTTTTTGTTGCAAAAAATACATTTTGGAATAGTGATTTGATGGAGAATGTATAGTTAAAAATAAGAAAAAATTTTGAATTTGCATGTAATATTTTTTTATTAAATAATATTTG